ATCCAGCGGTGTAGAGAAGAACATTTCGACAGCAGGTAGTTGAGAAGAAACGGCGATAAGGACTCCACCGCCTCTACTTTTTAAACTATCGGTACGATCACGTCTAAAAATCTGAAATTCGGAACATAAAATTTCTACGTCGTAGATATTGCTTGAAAGCCAAGTTTCGGTAAACGCGATAACCTGATAATTCAGAATATAACTGTTTATAAATAAGGAAGATAGTTTAGTGTGTAACCTCTAACATTCTGATAAACTAGATTAAAATTATCAACAGTAGGAACAATATTTAGTTTTTTGATTGAGATGTTGGAAAATATACAATATATGATTTTGGAACTTCTCTATAAATATATTCGTGTATAACGGCTTTTGCAGGCCAAAAGGATGGGTTAACTATTATTTCAAAAATATCCTCAGGAACATGAATTCTAAAAGAAGCTTTATTTCGTTTTTCCGCATATTTGAATTTATAAACTTTTATTTCAGCATCGACATTTATTTTGCTCTTTATAAATGATATGACATCATCCTCAGACGTTGAAGCAGCAAACCTTGCAGCGAATACTGTACGTTTAGGCAAAACTACTTTTAGATTGGGGGGACTTGGAGTATTAGGAGTACTCATTATATTTGGCGATTTTGGCGTGATTTGAGGAGAGAAAAACTTTTTTGACACAGACGGAGTTAGTTCGGACGTAGGTATTGAAAGTGGTGCAGATTTTGATGTAGAAGGGATTTTGGACGGTGTTAACTCAGTTACTACTGCACGATTCTGATTACAAATTGATGACTAAGCAGTTTTGGATGGTGTTTCTTGGATGGTAATCAGCTGAATTTTCTGCGTAATAATTTCATTCATCGAAGTTACATTAGCTTCTGTCGGTTTCTTCCTTTTTCGTAGAGAATCAGGCGGAGACTGCAAGAACTGATCTAAGTTGGTTGTTTGATCTAACATTTACTTGTATTTTTCAAATCTATCAGCCATTGAGCGGAATTCAGTGCTTATATCTTGTAATTCGGTACGAGTTTTCTTGAAGAATTTGTAAAATTCGGCATCTAATGCCCTACTTTTGGTGCAGCACCAGCGTAGACCCTTATTTTCCCTTAAATTATCAGCGGTTCGTGGTGATAGTTTGATACACCTCACGTGATAAGAATCCAGATATAGCCAACAGGATACCATTGGTTCATCGGAAACTAATTGTTTACAATTGATCATAGAACAATTCATTATTGTGATTTAGATTATGACTTTAACAAGTACAACAACCGCTTAGTAATCGATGCAGCAAATTGATGTTTCAAACGTAATTATGCTTATAGCAAATACAGCAACCAATTTAAACAGGTAGTGTTCTAAAAAGCTTCAGAGATTAATTAGCACACTTGTCAGAATGTCAACAATGTTAGAGAAATTGTAGTATGACGGATTGTAAGCTAAAGCTTTTTGACACTATGATGCTTATACGAATCACACAGCAAAATGAAGACCAGGAGAAAAAGAAAAATGGTTATTCCTTTTATTTGTTTTGCAAAAAACAATTCTTTGGCGCCGAAAAACTGCCAATTTATGCACACAATTCGAAAAGGAAACACTGGGAAAGCTTAGTAGTTCCGATTATTTAGTTTATCAATGGCAATTTAGACAAGAAATTTATCGTTTTTTTGAGAGCGAGTTATAAACACGTCCGAACAGTAGGATAGCCCAAGCTAGGTTTGTGCTCAATTGTGCCGAATTTTTTTCGAAATTCGAAAAAATTTCTGGGATATTTGAAAAACAATTTTTTTTCGAAAAAATATGAGAATTGCAATTTTCGAATTTCGAATAAATTAAAGTTGTGCTGAGTCGTACTCGGTTTGTGCCCATTTGTGCCGTTAAATTTTTTTCGATATCTCTTACCAATTTCGAAAAAAACGACAATTTCGAATGTATGTCAGAATTGCAATTTTCGAATTTCGAACAAATAAGAATTGTGCTGGGTTGTGCTTGATTTGTGCTAACTTGTGTCGTTTATTTTTTCTCAATATCCTTAACCGTTTTCAAGATATGGCAATTTCGAAAAAAACAGTATTTTTCAGAAAAATTGCTGCAATTTTGGTAAAAATTCAAATATTGAGATGGACGAACAATTGTGCTAGGTTAGCACAAATCAGCACAACTTTTAGTTTTTCGATTCTTTTTCGAAATTCGAAAATTGCAATTCTCTCAGATTTTTTAGAAAAAAATCTTTTTTCTAATATCTCAGATATTGTTTCGAATTTCGAAAAAAAGAATTCGGCAGAATTGAGCACAAACCTAGCACAATTCAGCACAACTTTCCTATTTTCGAAATTCGAAAATTGCAATTCCAACGGACACCACATAAAATGAGATCGTTGTTGCCATCCAAAAATGTGTTTTAATTGATTTCTTTTGCGGTATTCACAGATTACACGTTTCTTTTAAATACTCTTTTTTGATTTTCAAAAGAAGTTTATGTAAACTCCACTAAACAAAAATCAATTAAAATTGATCTAAAAATATATTGTTTCAAGCTATTGAGATAATGAGATAGGGCACTATCCTAAAAAACACAGACGATAGTTTGTTTGATCTTTAAATTAAATAGTATTTTTCTTAAAAATTTAATCCGTTTCTAACATTTAACATAACAAAGATTATTATTTCCCTTTTTGGTAATTTTTGAGCGATATTTAGGTTATTTAACAATATGAAAACTGATGCTGGAACCTTAAGCAGATCCCCAATAATGGATTCAATACTACTTTACCCTACTCTTGGAAAAATTTTAGAGTCCGTCAATCCGTCACAATCAAATACGCAATCAAATGACAATATATTGTTAAAGAGAACATTGGTCATTACCCTGAGTAGTAGAAGTTATGAAAAATCTACAAGCAATTCCAATTTATGTTAATACTTACAAATTAATTTGGAAATTACAACATTAATTAAGCCAAGGAAAAAGTATTCATAGTAAATTCACTGTTTGCTCAATTTTCAATTCAAAATTTTTAGACAAAATGGCAGAGGAAAAATTCTCCAGGTTCATTAAAGCCTCGGTTACGCTTTCAAATACCCTAAATTCCTCTAGTTAAAAGAAAATAGACGACAATCAATTTAGAGAGAACAAGTAAAGAAGCGGTTAAGGTTAGCAGGGCCGAACCGTCTACAATTAGGAAAATAACTCATATAAATACCGATATTCCAGTATTCGTCACTTCTGTTATTGGAAACATCCAACCTAATTTTCAAACAATTCTGTAAAAAACAATTTGCTTCAGTCATCACCGAATATCGGAAGTACCTTTATATGGGACCTATAGGAAAACGTGGACCTATTTAGACAGTGTTCTGCTACAGGATAAACAATCCAATATGAACTTCAAATATTGAATTTTAAGCAATCCCACTTGAAACTGAGCCTAGATTCGTATAGGAAAACGTGGACAGAATAACATATTATGAACTGTAAATACCGAATTATAAACTATTCCCTCAGAAGGTGTGACTAAAATCGTCACAATATCGAATGCGGCCTATACGAAAACTTTAAGCGATATAGCTCATCTTTGAACTTGAGCTGACTGCAGACAAAAGACAACGCTATGCAAAATTTTAGCTTCATATCACATGCCGGTTGACTCTAGCGAGACAGCCGCACGGACGGACATGACTAAATATGTATACTTTGTTGAATCTAAAACGATTATTTCAATGGGTTACAAACAGAATGACAAACTTAAAGCTTAAATCATCAAACTACCGAATATCGGGGGTACCGTTATATGGGGGCTATACGAAGACGTGGACCCACATGGCTCATTTTTGTTGTCTGAGGCTGTAGTATCCATTACTAACTTCAAATACCAAATTTGAAATAATTCTAAATAATGTCGCTAAAATCACCAAAATACCGAATATCGGTTACATGGGGGGCTATACGAAGACGTGGAGCTACATAGCCCATTTTCAATACCAAAAGTCCTGCAAACATAACACATTTGAGTAAATTTTTATCAACTTACTTCATTTCGTTCGGAAGCTAGAGTGATTGACGGACGGCCATTGATAAATCGACATAGAATTTTATGCTATTATATATATATATATATATATATATATATATATATATATATATATATATATATATATATATATATACTTTGTGGGGTATAAAGTGTATATTTCGAGGCGTTACAAACGGAATGACAAACTTAATATACCCTTCATACTATGGTGGGAGCTATATGCAGATGTAGACCTGTATGGACAATTTTCTGTAATGTGAGGTAGTACCCATTAACAACTACAAATACCAAATTTGAAACAATTCTGGCAAAACAAATTCACTAATCTGGCAACACTGTTAGGCAGCTATACGAAAACGTGGACCTCTATAGCCACTTATCTGTTAGGAAAAGCAGCGGGTATTACGAACTCCAAATGGGCCTATATAGACAGTTCTATGAAAGGATGTTGCTTACATGCTGGGAACACAAATTTCCAATTTACAGCAAATTCGGGTTAAAATTTATTAAAAAATTCACATGAAATACATCTGAGCAATACTTAATCAACCTACTTCATTTCGTTCCGAAGCTAGGGTGATTTCGACAGACAAACAGAAATAAAATCGAAGGAGAATTTTATACTGATCAAGAAAATATATACAAACGGAATGACAAACTTAATATACCTTTCATGCAATGGTAGCACTGTAGTACATATTCTGGAACACAACTTATGTTTGTCAAATGAAAATATGTATTTCAATCGTGTATTTTACATCTACAATGTCTGTTACCGTCTGTTTTAGAAATCCAATCAAACCCAATCGAATGGTCAGACATAAAATGATCATACGATTGCATCAAAAAATCGACTCAAATACTACCCATGACTGATTTTTTCAACTCATCGCAGTTCTCTATAACAAATCACGTATCCCTAATCGTAACATTAACTCAGTACTTTTTGTTAATTTCTTCATTAGCTTCAAAGATGCACGCCGTGGGTATCCATTCTGCCATGGCAATAAAACGCCAACGACGACGGCGTGATGAACAAAAACGAGCTCGCGAAAGACGTTATAGTACACAAAGCTCGGAAAGTGGTGAAACGTTCCATTCTCCAAGTGGATCTGTCCGACGCAAGTACCATCACACTCACAATGCCGCCAAAGCTGGACCAGGGATGATCGATAGTCAGGTTGTATATTAGCATGTAATGTTGCTTCACTGAATATGTCTATTGCTTCTATTGTATCTTCTGTAGGTTGTCACTAGTATTGGAATGCTGCATATTGGCATCGTCTTCATCGTATTCGGAGTATTTTTATGTGGAGCTGGCATCATTCCAGATGAAACCATGTCTTGGAACGTATTCAGTAAGTACAAGCTTGCGAAGCTATTCAATTGCATATTTTGACGTTTTCGGTCTATTTGCCTATTGCTACTCACGAATGGGAGCAAATCTGTCAGTAGAGTTTTTGCAAATATATATATATATATATATATATATATATATATATATATATATATATATATATATATATATATATATTTTTTTTTTTTTTTTTTTTTTTTTTTTTTTTTTTTTTTTGAACTGACACTTGCACGACAGCCTTTTTTGTAAAAAAAAACTTTTATTCGAATTGTTCGCATTCAAAGGTATTCGTTTGAATTTATGTTTTTATAAACATACTAGCTGGCCCAGTCCGCGTTGCCGGTCCGTAGTTTTTGTCTTTAATGCATAGTTTTTAAAGCATAATAATTCACAGATCTGGCTCAAATAAGTGGCATAATTTGTAGTAAAAATGATGATTCGGCTAAATTGAAATAAATACGCATCGCATAAATGTCAATACAGGTTCACGTACCGGGCGACTTGTAGTGTTTTCAAAAAACCTGAAAACCTTTAAAAACCTGATCCCATTTTTTAGAGGTTTTAATTTGACAGTTAAAAACCTAAATAACATAAAAGCTAGGGACTCCATAAAGTATGTTAAAGAGTAGCAATCTTTGTCGATCAAATTATGTCCGTGAGCCTCTCCGTTCATCATTTGCAATTACAACAGAGGTCACCAAATTTAATATGCCTCTTTCAACCTTTGCACAGGCTTTAATATTATTCTTAGGACGATTGATGTTACAAAAGGTATATATTTGCCCTCATATAATATTATCTCCTAATATTCGTCGACCAAATGTGCTCTAATTTGGCCGTTTTGAGGTACTTTAAAGATCTCAAAAGCATTTTCGAGCTTAATCATTTGTAAAAAATTATAACAAAATTCCACATTACGATTTATTTTCTATTCCCCAATACCACTTTATACTCGTTATATCATCGTGTTTAATAAAATTTTCAAACCTCAATTATCAGTGTTATAAAGGGTTTAGCAATATTTTCCAAATCAAAAGTTTTGAATTCGTAACTTTTAGAATACCATGTTGTAAGTTATTTATTTTTTTACCAGTGTAATATCCTATGCCAATTAATATTTAAATTAATCTTTGAACTTTAATACCACTTAAATTTCGTCCTTTTACATGTTTTTTTACAATTTCTACCAAATGAACTGTAATTTGACATTTAAACTTTTAGGCATAGCCTCAATTTAAAAGAACGTTGAGATTCTAAATGTTTGGTGCTTTGAGAAGTATTTCTTAATCAAAATTGAAAATTTTGGTATGGCAACCATATAACAGCATCTATAGAAAATATGCCAAATTTCTCAATTTTTTCGGTTGTTTTTTTAATAAGAATTTTGAATTCCAAAAGGCTTTCTGAAACAATTCAAAAAAAAATTCCATATCAAAATAGAACAGTACATTTTTTCAGTTCCGCGACTATTCCGGATACTTTTCTCAACTTTTTTCATGAAAACGCCTCCATTAATTACAAATAATCAAAAGAAAAATTGAGTCAAATCGGTCCAGCCGTTCTCTACTGATGTTTTACTATACTTATTTAATTTTTTACATATAGATTTAAAGTAGTAGGTGTGGCCAGTTCCTCTGACCCAAGTCAAGATTACATCGTATACTAACTGTGGAACAGATATCTTCATGATTTTGGCAAATATTAGGATTTTAGGTAAATCTAAGGAAATGGGCGTAAAATTAGGCGTGGTCACTTTTTCTTTGCATAAAACCTAAGTCGTGGTAGGACGAACATTTAAAAATATTCAAATCATGGATTGATTCTTGCCAACGAAAAACAATTGATTTTTTTATATATATAGATAGATTATAGATAGATTTGAAGTACCAATCACGACACATATGTCCGATTCCAATGAAATTTGGCATGAGTGAATAATTTTGGTACAAAAATAAGTTTGTCAAATTATGTTCAAATATATATATATATATATATATATATATATATATATATATATCTATAAAAGAGGAAAATGTTTGTATGTTTGTTTGTTTCTTTGTTTGTTTGTAATTTATGGACTCGAAAACCGCTGAATAGATTTTCCTGAAAATTTCCATATATACTGCAACATCGCCTGAAAGTAACATAGGCTATATACATTTTTGAATTTCCACTTGGAACTGGAGATATAGCATCAGAATCGGAGGTACCTCCCAAAAATTTAGATTTTATATGCACATATATATTGATTGGTTGAAGATACAGTCTCCAAATTTGGAATACGTAACGGAATTCGGAACAAAAATAAGTTTGCCAAATTATATTGTAATCGGTTCAGATTTGGATATAGCTTCCATATATATTTTCGACCGATTTCGTTCATTTGATGTCTCAAACACAATATGAAGGTTCGATTCCAATGAAATTTGGAATGTGTGACGGGATTTAATCCGAAAATAAATTTGTCAAATTATATTGAAATCGGTTCAGATTTGGATATAGCTCCCATATATATTTTCGGCCGATTTCAAGCATTTGATGCACCAAACACGCTATGTATCCCCAATTTCAATGAAATTTGAAACGTGTGATAGATTTTATCTAAAAAATTGATTTCCTAAATTATATTGAAATCGGTTCAGATTTGGATATAGCTCCCATATACATTTTCGGCCGATTTCATGTATTTGGTGGACCAAACACGGTATGTATTTCCAATTGTAATGAAATTTAAAATAAGTAACGGAATCGGGAGCCAAAATGAATTTGTCAAATTAAATTGAAATCGGTTCAGATTTGGATATAGCTCCCATATATATTTTCGACCGATTTCATGTATTTGATGCACCAAACGCGCTATGTATCTCTAATTTCAATAAAATTTGGAAGTTGTAGCGGAAATTAAAACAAATATACATTTGTCAAATTATATTAAAATCGGTTTAGATTTGGATATAGCTCTCATATATATTTTCGACCGATTTCATGTATTTTATGCACCAAACACGATATGTATGTTCGATTCCAAAGAAATTTGGAATATGTAACGGGATTTTGATTAGAAAATAAATTAGTCAAATTATATTAAAATCGGTTCAGATTTGGATATGAGTGGCTAAATTTGCATGAGTGGCTAAATTTGGTACAAAAATAAATTTGACAAATTATATTCAAATACGCTCAGATTTGATTATAGCTCCCATATATATACTAAGCCGATTTCACATATTTGATGCACCCAAAGCGAGAGAGACAAAATCCCGTTACATATTCCAAATTATATTGAAATCAGTTGAGGTTTGGATATAGCTAACATATATATTTCGGCCGATTTCATACATGTTATGCACCAAACATGATATATACGACCGATACCAATGAAATTCAGAATGTGTAACGGAATTTGACTACAATAATAAATGTGACAAATTAATTGGAAATTAGTTAAGATTTGGATAAAGCTCCCATATATATATTATCGGCCGATTTCACATATTTGACGCACCAATTTCAATGAAATATGAAAGGTGTGGCGGAGTTTGGTGTAAAAGTAATTTTTTTAAATTATATTTAAATCGGATCAGATTGGGATATGATTTTAATAACAACCATTGACCCACAACGCCTTAGGCTAACACTAAAAAACAACACAACAATTGATTTGAAATACGCTTATTACGGCGAAGTATGTTGCTATCTCGAATTCACTAATTGCAATAGTAATGCCACTCAACTTCAAAAGATTGCAGTTACATAAATAAATAAATCCGAAGGACAAACCCTTCGTGTATGTATGTCATGTTACTGCTTTTCTAATGGTTTTGGTTATTTACGCATAAAAGTAGTGCAATAATTTTTTCTTTAATTTTGAAATTTGTTTTTTTTTAACCAACATATATTCGTAAATAAAATTTTGAATGCATATAAAATTAAAAGGGGTAGCGAAGCACACCGGGTTCAGCTAGTATATATATATATATATATATATATATATATATATATATATATATATATATATATATATATATATATATATAAATTTATTTATTTTATTTATTTATATATTTATAAAAATCAATTGTTGTTTGTTGGTAACGGAATCAGTTGAAAACGGCTGGACCGATTTGCATAATTTTTTGTAAAAACTTTCGTCATACCCCGAGTTAGGTTTTTAAAGAAAAAAATATAGACCACGCCCACTTTTGCGCCCACAATTTTGATTTATCTAAAATCCTTATATTTGCCTATATAGAGGAGATATCGGTTTGAAAATTATTACACGAGATACTGTTGACTTTTCATCCCCCTCTAAGTATTTATTTGGGGCTGAGGAACTGTCGTTGTCAGTACTTTTTAATCTATATCTATCTCTCTATTATATAAAGGAAAGTGGTGTTAGTTACTACGCTAATAACTTAAGAACCGCTGGACTGATTTTAACGATTCATACAAATTCGGAATTGTCTTCTCTCCGAAAAGGATAATATCCAAAAAAATCGCGTAAAAATGTGATATACTAACATTTTCATTTTGACTTTTGAAATGTACAACAGTAATGTTTTATTTTGCATGATTTTTTCCATTTTGACTTACTTTTTTCTAATGTACATTTGTAGTGTTTTTTTATATTTTATTTTTGAATTCAAATATTAATACCAATTTATTTAATTGACTTGATTTCTTGAGAAATGAAATTGATGGCGAGTTACATGGAAGTGTAGTACCGAATTATGTGGTGGCGAAACGGAATAGATGATGTCGAAATAATTTAATGGAATCGAATTTTAAAATAGAAGTACATTCTATTGACAAACTATATAAGGATCTTTAAACATTTGCTGTAAAAAATCAGCGAACAAGTTGAAGATTTTTTCATTGTGTTATTCTTATTTTGTCAATTTTTTCAATTTGTATTATCTAATTGAATTCAGTAAATTTTTTGTGAACAAAATAAAGAATAATTTTTCACTATATACAAATTTTCACCAAAAAATGAAATAA